CTATACGTAAAAAACAGTTTGAAATACAGAAATAAAATTGTTTTTCTTTGCGTGTGGCTAGAAAAGCTTTATATTTGCACTCCTTACATGACTTCTTTTTAACAAAAGAATAATTATAAAAAATAAAGGAAATATTCGAGAAATAACAAAAAACAGTTGCAAACTATTTTTTGTTGTTGATTTGCTTGTGCCAAGTGCCATTTTATATATTTTTGTGTCGTGATTTTATGCCTGAGGCACTTGAGCAATAAGGCAATTTCTCTAGTATAATTTTAATAAGAATGAGCCTTATTGAATCATAACCTGAGGACCTTAAAAGTATATTTTTTCCTGAGCATAGTTGGGGTGTTATAGATCAGAGAATCATCCATTATAATTACTCATTTTTTTCCTACATACTGCTTACGATAATGAATATGTTCCTTACTGATCAACAGAACTTTCCGTCAACCAGTGCTCAAAATCTCGATCAGACACCAACAATACTCAAACGCTACACTTATATTCCTACTGAGAATAGATACGCATTAGGTACCTGATATCGAACGACGTAACAGAACTGTACCACAAAAATGATCTTGACAATAAAGATAATAATGTTGGTGATGATGATGGTGATGGTGATGGTAATGGTGGTGGTGATGATGGCAATTATGACAATGACAATATTGATAACTGCAATAATAATTGCAGAGATGATGATGATGATAATAATAATAATGATAATAATAATAATAATAATAATAATAATAACAATAATAATAATAATAATAATAATAATAATAATAATAATAATAATAATAATAATAATAACAACAACAATAACAATGATAATCATAATTATAATCATAATAATAATGATGGTGAGGATAATAATAATAATAATAATAATAATAATAATAATAATAATAATAATAATAATAATAATAATAATAATAATAATAATAATAATAATAATAATGGTGACTATAATCACGATAACATGAATATTATACAGTAATGATGATAACACTAATAATAATGACCTTTTAAGTTAAACATTATATATGATACCCGATTTCCACTGATAAACAGATGGGGAGCTGTTAGGCATCCAAACACCTTCCTGCCGTTTTAACAATAAAACTACATCGCTACCCTGAAAATAACAGTAAAAACGAGTTTGTTTGCAGGAGTCTCTATAACACAAACGTTTCGTGATACAATGGACATACTCAAGGTGTTATTTGATCTTTTCTTTCACGTTGAAATATTAAGTACTCTATAAGCCCTATAACAATGGCATGCACTGTAAACTCTATTTTGATATGTTGGGTGCAAATGAAGCAATATGACATATCTCTTGATTAAAATATTTCAATAAATGTATTTCTTCCACAGCAAAATCAAACAATTAAAATGCTCGCCCACCGAAGTATATCACATATTATCATAGTCTAGATTTCATCTGTATACTGACATTAAGTGATAGTCTGGATAAAGATTTGATTATAAAATTTCAACTTTATTAAACTGAGAGAACGAATGGCATGCTATGTCAACTTTCATGTCTTTCTGACCTGAAGACTATTATATCAAATTATTCTATTTACGATTAGAGTAGTTCATTCACTTTAAAAGACCGCGTGTCAGTTTAGTAACTAGTTAACTAGTCAGCATGATATGGCACCATATCAAATTCAAAATGTTTTCTGACCAGTTTCCGTAAGTAAATCCCTTAAATATAAACATTTTAATCATGGTAACCACTGCGTGAGTCATCAAGAACTTAAACTATATAAAATCAAAAATATTCAGGTTGGTTGTTTCAAACATTTGAACATTTTCACCAAATGACTTGTCTGTATTAATGAGTAATTTGTCACTTTTTATGTATGTATTTTCTAAATGGAAAAAACAATGAAAATTCTCTAATATATACCTTAGTTTTGGTGACATCCTTGTGTAATATACTACTGGTTACTTCAAGTAAATGAATTATTGTCAAAATCAATCAATAATCTAAAACTTTTTCACTTCTGGTTCATATTTTAAATACTATTTTTTCCAATTTCATCAATTTCCTTGTGGTAACGTAAATCATCCCATTGGAAAGTGTTTACTTTTTCCTACTTATAAAGCAGTAAAAATATGCAATCATTTGTTTATGGTATAAAAAGCAAGTACATGTACAATAATGTTTCTTTTGTACTAAGTGGACAAGTACAATTACTTAAGTGTGAAATAAATGAATATATATAAAATAATAAAACTCAGGTACAACTCTAAATTAAGTAATGATAAACAAACTGGCATTAACAGTTAAAAACAAATTGAAGTGTAAAATAGGAAAAACAAACTAATCCAAGCATTTATGAAAAAACTCATGACAGTTAAACCAGTTCCAAAACAATATCTTATTTTTGCATTCAAGCATATGTCAGATCAAAGAATGCAACATATATCTTATTTTGGTCAACAAATAAACAGGAGAAATGTCTAAGGAAATAAAACTAAATAATTGTCTGTAAAACCAAATTTCCTTTCATAAGTCACAGATAAATATAAAAAAAATAGAATACAATACCCTGCAAGTAAGTTCAACAAAACACAACAAATAATAGTAAAACCATATAAAATGAGCAAATCCAATTACCAAAAAAACTAAACATAAGTGTTTAGCTTTTTACCCTATATAGAGATATCTATAACCAGGCAGTTTATACATACATATATATAAATAACCACATAATGTAATAAATGTGATACCATATGTGAACAAAACTGGACAGAGTGACAATCAGGATAAATCTGTATGCATCTTTTTGCATTTTTTTGTGTTCACAGTTACAAATGCATATGACTATTACATGTTAAAAACCTCTCACACACACACTGGTTCACACATACATGTAGATATGCCTATCAACTTTATCAATGTCATCATCATTTTCCTGTCAGTAAAATTACTTATGAAATCTAAACTTTAATCACGCGCCCAAATCAACTCTGGGTGCAATTACCAGTGGCAGAGTACATAGTAAAGAAGAGAGAAGCACAGTAAAAAACATACATATACACCAATATCAAACTCATACAAGAATAGACTCGTCTAAGACACTAAACACAAAAATGTAGGAATCTGCTTTCAACAGTCCTTTCCAAATGAATGTAATATTTACAAGAGCAAGTTAAAATGACTATAAAAATTACAAGACTAGCCTCTAGGCTCATGGCTATGAAATATCACACAAACAAGGGGGGCATTCCCACAAGGTAGGAGCTGCAACAGAAGAAAGGGAAAAAGTACAAAACATGGGAAAGAATGCAAGAATACTTTGAGAAGAAAAAAGATGGATCTATCATATTTACTATGCTCTGGAATTTAAATTGTAACTTGAGAATTTTTAAAAATGGGGGAAAATCCAAACTAAATGGAAGGGAGGATCACTTCATATCCAGCAGTCTGTAGATCTACTGAATAGTTTTCCAGCTGCCTATAATCCCATTAACTGTACAGTGCTGGTCAGCTCACCTGTCCATCCCAGTCTTCGCTCATTTTGAAAACTGGCAGAGCACATTAAATACTTCTTTCATAATCTTACCAAATAAGCTGCTTTGTAAATCCTTTCTTTCTATGAACCTGTATCAGGGTAAGAATAAAGGGAAAAAAGAACTTCTACGTAAATGGGAACTTTGGGGATTCAGTTTATCTTCCTAGCTGGTCTAGCTGGAGTGGACTGATTTGGGAATGCTGCAGACTCCATGGCAGTGAAAAATACCTTGTTTTTAAATATTTTCAACATGTTATAGTAAGAAAGTAAAAGGTAATATTTCTTTATGTTAACTGACTAATGACACACCCCTTTCTTAACTAGAAGGCCATTTAAAGAGTAGTTGTTATATTTAACCCATTCGCCTCATATGGCAAGAATATATGTCATGCCCACTGTAATACAAGTTTATTTATTGTATTTGTACCCAGATGGTTCTACAAGTGCTTAGTCACCAAGGAGTCAGTTATTAGTCCTTCCTATCTCACTTGTTTACCCTTTTCCTCGTCTTTTGCATTATTTCATTGTCTTAAATGTTACCAAGATTTTAATAACAATTTAATAATCATATCAATAACAATAATAACAGCACTGATATCAATTGTATTAAAAAGAAAAACACAGTGGAGCCATCTGTATGTAACAAAATTTTTAAAAATACAGGGGGCAGAACATATATCTATGGCGGTTGGGTTAATTACATTTCCAATTTCAAATATCAAAATCATAATACCATGACTTTCTTTATTTCTTTGCAGGCTCAAAATTACCCTCTAATACATAAAACCTGTGGAAAAACTTATTTTCTACAACTATACCTGGTAGGAAAATGGGAAAACAAAAAAATGCATCAATTATCCAATTCATACTTGTTATAACATCCTAAACTGCTCTAATTAGGGGTGTACTTAGTGACTGTGTTTGGGGAGGAGTAATGGCCTCCAAACTGCCAACTTCATGAAGTGCAGCACTCCTATGTACCCCTGGCTTTGACCTAAAACCAAACAAAACATAAAACTAACACTGTATCAGCTTCAAATATTTCCTAGTACCTTTCCAGTACTGTACAGAGAATGTAGATCAACGCTACATAAAGACTGGTTTACAGTAAATAAAGAAAATAAGTTCAGGTTCAAGGGGCCAACCTTAAGACACCTTCAACCTTAACATGCTACAGAAAGGCTATATAAAACTTATATGCATTAATATCTATATCACAAACTTTAGAAATATATCTGACATTTTAGAGGGGGAAATATAAAGTTCTATTAAAGCCAAACCAATAAGTAACTACTGCTTCTCTTCAGATGAGTCTTACAATAAAACTCTAAACAAATAAATACATAAATAAATAAGTGAGAATACATATATCAAAGTGGCTACTGGTGCGGCATATACTGTAGCCATCTTATGGGCTAATGCTTCAGCATAGCTATTAAAGGGCACACCTTGTGGGTATGTCACAGTGTTAGTGTAAATTTTAAAGCTTTTCACTAAGGCTATGGCATGCCCTAAGCAGTGGTGCTAGGATTTGTGCTGACACTATAATGCCATAACCATAGCCACTGCCTACTTAAATACTTCAACTGTTATGCAGTGTTTGATATTTCTGTACATGTCTTTATGTGTGCCAACAGAGCTTACAAACAAGCACACAGTGTATAAATACGATTCTGCCTTGTGTGAAATGTCCAAAGATATTCATGTTACCCTCCTTGGACACTGCCTACATACTACCAGGGAACAGTTGTTGTAATACAGCACATTTTCACATCAGACTGCATACCAAAGCCCAATAAAAAAGATATATATGACATCAAAATTCAAAAAGGATGTGAAAAAAGCAATGCACAAACTTCATAATCAAGTTCAGATATATACTGTTTTGAATGATAAATTAATGTGTAAAATTCATTTCTGAGCAATTGTTATCAGCCAAACATTAACCAAACACACACACATGCACATACAAACACACATGCACAAACAGACACACACATGAACACGTGCACTCGCACTTGCACTCACACTTGAACACACACACACACATACCTACCCATGCACACCACTGCACACGCACATGCATCCACACATGCACATGCATGCGCGCACGTACGCACACACATACACACATGCACACACACGCACACGCACACGCACACACACACGCACACGCACACGCACACGCACACGCACACGCACACGCACACACAAAATATGTGTGCATGTATGTGTGTGCAAAATTTACATACATATTATACTGTCAATAATTTATCTACCTCTATCAAAAAATTAGATGATCTTTACCCAAGCCAATGAACTTGCAGGTAGTAAAAAGACTTTTAATGGTTTTCAAAGATCTTTTCTTGCTTCAGTTTTTAAATTTAAGACCCTAAGACTTTCATGAGCAGTCCACTATCAAAGACAAGTTGTAGATACCATGTCTAATAGCTCTTCCTGTACTAATAATTAATAACTATCTGCAATGATAAAATTAATAAATACGCCTTTAGTTCAACACCATTCTGAAATCCTAACTAAAAAAAAAAATAAGAATTATAAATGAACCAAATCATATCTAATCCCATATTCTCAAATTCCTCAATGTCAAAGCACTCTCATGCAAAGCATCTAAATAGCAAAAGTCAAAACCTACACTGATATAACTAGTATGATGTAAAGTAAGTCAAAATTGCATTTTTTTTTATAAAACGAGCAAAATCTTTTATGATACAAAAAACAAAGGTTTTTGTGCAGTTAACGCAACAAATGCTTCATGTTCTCTGAATTCTGCAGGAACTTTATCTCTAACTGAACCAAAAGTACTTCTCTGTGGATGTCTTCACCTGATATCTGCACACATGGCTGAATACACAAGCATGTCTATATATAACGGCTGTGTACTATGTGTATTTATGATTGAGCAAAAGAACCAAAGTGAGAGATCAAACAAAAGAGTAACTCCCTGAATCATTATTACACTCAAAGAAGTCTTATCTCCACTATCTATCCACCCTCACTTACATACATTACTAGTTATGGGTACATCTGTTGCCCATAACTGTACACATTTGTGCTATTACATGCAAGATACTTCTTCCTGACACTCAGAAGTGATCACCCCTACATCTATGATTGTGACATGAGAAGGTAAGACCATTTTCCAAGACCTGATTGTGCTGTAAGTAGTAATTTACACCTTCACAGGAAATACACAGATGGGCAACTCAAGCAGGTTGCCTTGAACAGAGACAGATGACTGTGCCAACAGATTCAAAGTTGACAACATTCCATCGCTTGTGACAAACCCTGATACATGTGTCAGTTCGTGCATTACACCCCTCTTACGCATACAATTGTGCTAGAACATTCTGGGTAGGAAAAAAACTATTAGATGAGGTCAGTGTCTCACAATAAATGCCTTTAAGGATTATCAACTTTCCTATTTGTCCATATTTTAACATAACACCTTTCAAATAGCAGCTAATGTTAAATCACCTTTCACAACTACGTAGGTACATTTCTTTAGTATTTATCAAAAAGGCATTTTTTTTCAAATTTCAGCTTCTGTTCTAACAATATTTACAGTGAAACATGAGGAAAGAAATTACACCTTGTATAAAGTAATGTCTCCAAAGCACCAAGAAACATAAGCTTTTTCAAGTATATGCAAAACACATCATTTGGAGCTCAGACTACATACAAGTGAAGTGTTCCTTGTGCTGACCTCTCTTATCCTCTTTTCCTTGACAGAAAAAAAAAAATGAAAAGATAAAATGAAGAAAGAAAGTACAAAAGTAAAATCCTTAAAGATTATACCCCCTCCCAAAAATCTTTTTAAAAAGGCATTTTATTCAATATATTCTGAAATTTTCAGCTGTGTGTAACAGATACAGCACCTTTTTAAGGTCACTCCACTGCATATCTCCCCCTTCATCAAATATATCAACCTAAAACCAAGATTAAATTGAAAATATTATCAATTTTACAAATATAACCATGAATGTTTCTTATTCTCAAAGTATAACACTCAACCACTTTCCTCTCTTTAATGTCAGACAACCCTCTGAAAAAGGCTGCTTTTGGCCTTTGCAACTGACCTGCTTAGAAGAAAATTAAGAGAAGGGAAAACAGAGGAAGAAGTCCCGTCAACAAAAAGATATAAAAACACATCACTCTACCATGACCTGGTAAAGACAAGTAAAAATTAAAGTATAACAAATAAACAATCTGTAATTTTGAAAAAAAAATACATTTAATTCCATACAATTCTAAAGAATAACTCAGATATAATAAATAATTCTTATTCCATAATTTTGGTTTTCTTTTTCATGAGATGGAAATAATCCCAGAATAAACCAAGACAACAGTATGACTAGAGGTTTGTTTTGCCAAGTCTCCAACTCAGGGCAAGTCACCCCCCAAAAATCAAGGTGAAATGGATCCACATCACATGCCTCTTAACCAAGTATATAAAACAGACTAAACAATCTCTAACAAAATAATAATAAAAGACGACAAAAGAGTAATGAGGCCTACACCTATGACCTTTTAAGGGTTACATATCCAAGATCATTAAACTACTACAGACCATATCACAGTCTCTTAGGGTGGGGCCATAAATAGGCCATTGCTTGCTGATGCTCGGAAGGTATTTACACACTCATGGGTCTCCAAGGATTTCTGAGCTTACTATCTTTCCCTCTTTGTGTAAGTCTTCTGATAATTACTGGTCCTCTTACTATCATACAAAAAGATAAGAGTATAATTTTTTTGCAGAAGCCTATTATTTCTATATTAGGATGACATGAATAACAGATCATGATTTACCTTAATCTTCATATTCCCATGGTTTGTGTGACATCTAATCTTTCTGATGATGCTCCACACTTAAAATAGTGAAAAAGGTTCTCTACAGCTGCACACGCACACTCAAATACATCAAAGATTATATTAAGAAAAGACCCAGTATCAGCATGCAAGCTTATAAAATGCCCCTCCACTAGAATTCATTCTAATACTGCCTACAAACTGCCAATCCAATGTGTTGTCAAGAAAATACTGTCTTGGCCCATCATGGTTTTCTTTTTAGATTAGTAAAGAGTGTCTTAAGGTGAAAACAGACAATCTCACTCTCATTAAACATATCTTCCAAACTGAAACATGCTTTTAAAAAGTTCATTATACATGGCAAATGCTGAATGAGAATATATCCAACAACACTGCACATCTACAGTACAATAGCACTGCCATTTACAAAAATGATCAGATGAGAATCATACTGTGAAATGACTGCAATAAACTATCTATCCCTTGTTTGCATAAGCAGTGTGTACTCACAAGTAAAGGCTCTTCACAATTATGTCAACGATTAATCTGAAATGTTTCATGTACATATACAGGAGATATATAATCCAGCAATCTCCAACAATATCTTTGTGGTTCTTCCTTACTTTTATATTTTAATGGTTTATCTGGGCAATGATGACATTCATAATGGACCACATGACAGCACTTGGGTTACTGCATACATATATAAAAAAGCACTTTTTGATGTTCGGAAGTGAAGAACCTGTTCTTTTTTACATCTTAATATTACCTATTCTGATCACAGAATATCATGATATCTACCTATGCCTGGTAGTTTCCTTCTCCACATCAACAAATATTTCATGTGACTTACTTCAACAAGGCTTTCAAAGGAAAAATTACTAAATGAAAAAGAAATATAGTTATAGCCCTTATTTTCTGAGAAAAACTTACTGAATTTTGATAAAAATGGTTAAAAAAGGGAGGGGAAAAGAATGCTTTTATTCTGCCCTTATTATCTGGGTCATATTATTTCCCTTTTTATATCATTACCCATTTTACTAACCTTTTTATTAATGCTGAGGCACTCACACATTATCTGACTAAAAATCCTTGGCTGTCTGAATATCAGCTGGAAGGCATCATGCAAAAATACCATGAACCCTTAATTACGAAAAGAAATGATTCAAAGAAAAAAACAAAATCTAGAAAATAAAGCTTCCTTACCTATAGCATATCTACAACTCATATCACCTTTTTAGAAAAAAAAAAAAAAAAATCGTAATCAGAACAATCACTCACAATAAACGACACTTTTGAAATATCACATTGAAACAGAGCTCCTCCTCCTCCTCCTCTGACATCAGAAGTATTACAAAGGCAAGCGCCTCCCCTAGAAGCCATCCTCACATCCTCAACTATCCACAGGCGTCATCCTCTCCTCTGTGATGATGGCCTGCACCACATAGTTGTGCTGGATGTTGCATTCACACACGTGCAACCGGTCACCCAGCAACTTCCCACTATAGAACCAGCGCTGGCGAACCGCACCCAGGTTCTCCTGCATCTGTTAGAGACGAAAGGGGAGGTAGGAGATGGTCAAATTGTGCGTGAATATCACTTACAAAAACAAAAGGGAAGGGAAGGGAAGGGAAGGG